TTAAAAACAAAATACTCCAAGTCCTATTGCTGAGCTCTGTCTGCCTCCAGGCCTGGAGTGGCACCTGCCACTTCCCTCTTGGTCTCCTGTCACATCCTGACTGCCTGGGCTTTACTGTCAGCTGCACTAATGTGCTAAGTGTTCAGGTTTGGCCTTTTCCTTCTAGAACCTCATCTCAGAAAGCAGTCTGCTTTCCCCCTCCCTGCTTTTTTAAGATTTGTTTTATTTATCTGAAATGCTGAGTTACAGAGAGAAGAGAGATCTATCATCTGCCGCTGGTTCACTCCTCAAACAGCTGTAATGTCTGAGGCTAGACTAGCTCAGGACTAGCTCAGCTGAAGCCAGGAGCCAGGACCGCCTTCCAGGTGTCCCACACAGGTACAGGGGCCCTAGCACTTGCAGTATCTTTTTCTGCTTTCTCAGTAACATTCGCAGGGAACTGGATCGGAAACAGAGCAGCCAGGACTTGGACCAGCCCCTAACCTCACCTTGGGTACTCTTTGAGGTGTGCCCAGGTCTGAGCTAGTGGAGGGGCAGGGAGGTTAGAGGGGAGGGCTGCTCTAGTGGTAGATGCATAGAGAGGAGACTGGTGCTGGGTGGGGGCAGACACCAGATAGGTAAGTGTGTGACAATATGCCGTGATGACGCCATCTTGACATAGTGACTTTGGAGCTCAGAGGGAAGCTCCTGCCTCTTGGCCTCTTGTGGGGCAGAGAGGGTAGGGGGAAGGGGAGCCCTTCCCAGCCAAAGTTGAAATGGCGAAAGAAGAATGAAGGAATGCCGTTTGAGGATCTGTGAGAGTGAAAGCCGGCCAGTCTGGGGGACAGGTACACTCGTGGCAGGACTGTGGGCCACCCTGACACCTCTGTGAGTGGCTCCAACACTCTTTGATTCTCACACGGGGCTTCCTTTTTCAGTTTTAGTCTCAGGATTCCTACTCAGCTGCAAGACAGCAAGGAAAGGGTGGGGTGTGCACCCTGGGAGGCAGCAGAGAGACTACTGCAACCCGTGTGGGAGGCTCAGATTGAATTCTGAGCTTTTGGTTCTGACCTGCACCAGCCCTAGCTGTTGTGACCATTTGGGAGAGCAAACCAGCAGATGAAAATTATATTTTAATCAGCTTTAAGTACAATTTTTTTAAAAAGTAAGGTGCTAGGCCAGTGCTGTGGAACAGTAGACTAAACCTCTGCCTGTAGCGCTGTCATTCCCATTTGGGCACCAGTTCAGGTCCGGCTGCTCCACTTCCAATCCAGCTCCCTACTAATGGCCTAGAAAGTAGCAGAGGATGGTTCAAGTCCTTGGACACCTGTACTCACATGGACCACCCAGAAGAAGCTCGTGGCTTCTGGTTGCAGATCAGCCCAGCTCTGGCCCTTGTGGCCATTAATGGAGTGAATTTGTAGATCAGACTGTCTCTCCTTCTCTCTGTAATCCTGCCTTTAAAGTGAAAATAAAATAAATCCTTTTTAAAAGTGAGGTATGCAGAATTATCCATTAAAATACAAATCAGGGCCCAGTGCAATGGCTCAGTGGCTTAATCCTCACCAAACATGCACTGGGATCGCATATAGGTGCCAGTTCGCGTCCCAGCTGCTTCACTTCCAATCCAGCTACCTACTTGTAGCCTAAGAACACAGAGGATGGCTCAAAGCCTTCGGGCCCTGTGCCCATATGGGAGATCAAGAAGAAGCTCCTGGATCCTGGCTTGAAATTGGCTCAGCTCCAGTCCTGTGACCATTTGGGAAGTGAGCCAGTGGATGGAAGAAATTTCCCTCTGTCTCTCCTTTGCTCTGTAAATGTGCTTTAAAATGAAGATAAACGCACTTTGGAGCCGACACAATGGCTCAACTAGCTAATCTCTACCTCCAACCATCAGCATCCCATATGGACACTGGTTCATGTCTTGGTCGCCCCACTTCCCAACCAGCTCCTTGTTTTGTGTCCTGGAAAGGCAGCAGAGTATAGCCCAAGTGCTTGGACCCCTGCATCTATGTGAGGCATCCAGAAGAAGCTCCTGGCGCTTGGCTTTGGATTGGCTCAGCTCTGGCATTTGCAGTCATTTGGGGTGTGAACCAGCAGATGGAAGATCTCTCTCTCTGTCTCTCTCTCTGTCTCTTCTTCTCTCTGGAAATCTACCTTTCCAATGAAAATAAATAAAATAAATAATAAATAAATAATCTTAAAAAAAGAAATACAAAGCAAAATTAAAACTGATATTTTTTTTTATTCCCAAACTAACCTTCACTATTTCAGATATGGATTTCCATGGCTACCTATTGGGACTTGAGGTATTAGCTAATAATAATATAAATATGCCAGTGTAACCAGCAAGATGTAGCAATCCTATTAACCCAAGATATGCAACTAAACCTCTGCACTTTATTTTTCAGGGATATTTGAAGTCACACCAGACGTAATTGCATGCTTTTGTGAAATACTAAGTATCATAAAAATGTTTGCAATCATTGGGGGAAAAAAAAACCCCTTTATTTGCCACTGTTAAAGTGACTGAAGAAGCACAGGCAGAAGATGGCGACACCCAAACAAAATGCACTGTGTTGCAAGAGAGAATGTGCTGTGAGGGGTTTGGAACACAGGCCTGAGGACACAGGAGGTGCTGCAGAGCGTGGATGGGAGTTGTCAACATGATTCATCTCGTCTTTGCCGTGCTTTTCCATGATGATGTTCACAAAGAAATGCTTTTTGTGAACTGCTAGGAAAACAAGCTACATTCACAACAATCCGTGACTCGGTTAGCAAAACACACTGTGGTTTTTACGTGCGAGAGCAACCGCTGATGGAGAGACGGCCGTGGCTGGAACATAAAACTGGGGAGAGGAAGGGCTGGAGGAAAGTACACATGAAACTTGCTATTGCATCACTCCTCTGCAACAGCAGCAATAAAGACGCTGAATTTGGCAGGGCACACAATACTACAGGACGTCAAAATGTGGTTCATTTAAAAACATAAAAGGTAGCAGAGATTTATGGTGCTTTGCGAGCAGACATGGAATGAGAAGTAGCATCTTTTATAGGACTCAAAAATACTGGGTCTCTGTAGGCAAAGAACTTGAAAGTTCTGATTTTCAATGATGAGTTTCTTTAACACAAGGGGGGATTTCTAACCTGCTGGCTTGGGACTATCGCAAATTTGTTACATTGCACAGACACACAGGTCCTTTCCGGCAAAGATGATGTTGTAAAAATGAATTAGAAGAGAACTTCATGAAAGAATCCTGCTATGTGAAGAAACTTAATTGACATTGGAATGGTTTCTTTGATCGATGTAGTGTGGCTTCCATGCTCAAGTCCAGTGTCCGCGTCCAATTCCCATCTTGTTAGAAGCATACTTGTAAATCCATCTTTCAACCTTCCAAATGCATTTTTAAGGAATTAAAAAAAAAAATCCCACCTGTTAGAAACACTTGCAAGAACAATCAACGAAAATAAACTGCATAAAGAATTATCCTGCGGAATTTCCCATTTGCAAAATTGGTAGATGGGATGTAAAGTGGAGTTTATCATTTTAGAAACACAATCAAAGATAGACTTCTCTTTGGGCCTATTTATCTCTGTGAGGTTCTGTTTTAAAAATATTAGCCAAGAGGGTCAACAGTTAGCATGAACTCAACTTAGAAGCACACTTCCTAGTCTCATATGAAACGAAGATTGATTAAAATAAATTTTAACCATGTTGTTCTCACTTAATCACTGTGAAATTAAAAGGTATATCGTAGCATTCTTCCAAAATGAATTCATTTAAACTTGGTTCATCTAACCACAGCCCTAACAGTGTGCTTCATTTTATATATAAACGTATAAAGTAATGCCATCTCAGATGTATAAATAACTAAGTAGTTGGCAATCACCAGGCTACAAGGCAGAAGCAACAAACCCAGATAAATAACTAAGTAGTTGGCAATCACCAGGCTACAAGGCAGAAGCAACAAACCCAGAAGTCAGTGGGACAAGCCTGTGAAACGGTGGCACAGTGAGCACACAGAGGGTTCCCTTTCCCCATGGGCAACTCATTTGGTGGGAGAGGCAGAGGGGCATCCAGCTCACCTCCTTAGCGTGGCCCGGAGGTGGGTGGGGTCGTTACCTAGGCCTGTAAGCATAGCAGCAGGTTCTGCTCCGGGAAGCAAGGAGGTTCTAGGGGCCTCGAGGAAATCAGAGCACAGGCTGCAGCTGGGCGACCTGCTTGAGCAACGCGGGGCAGGTGTGTAGCGCAGCATGCAATCGACATCGCAAAGCCTGCAGCCCAGCCTTACTGACCTGCTCCACTGCCCGATGCAGCTCCCAGTCAGTGCACACACTGGGAAGGCAGCAGTCGGATGGCTCAACTCCTTGGGTCCCTGCCACCCACGTGGGAGACCTGGATTAAGTTCCTGGCTCCCTGCTTCGGCCTGGCCTAGCCAAGGCTGCTGTTGCAGGCATTCAGGGAGTGAAGCAGTGGATGGAAGTTTTCTCTCTCTCAAGCAGATAGAAATAAGCTAAAAAAAAAAAAAAAAAAAAAAAAGACAACCAGACAGGAAGTTTTTAAAACCATGGGAGAGGCTGAGATCCCTGGAGTTGGCCGGCGGGTTAGTGAGAGCTGGTATGGTTGGCACCGCCTGGGGACCTGAGCAACAGAAAGCCAAGCGGGCAGGAGCCGGTGGAGCATTCCCGCAAGCAAGGCGCGGTCAGCTGGCTCTGTGCTGGGAAGAGGTGAGTAAGGGAGGTTGGAAGGCACCCTCGGGCTTGGGCCCCTGAAAGGTCATTCCGGACTTCCAGGGGCGGGTTTGTAAGGAAGCCGGGGGAGCGGCGGGCTGGACAGGCAGCCGGTGCGCCGGGAGGGGCAGGAAGGTGATCCCGGGGACCCGACGGACACCGAACTGGGGAGCGCACGCCGGCGGGAGCCTCAGCTTCAGAGTAAGTCACTGGCACGGGCGGAAAGAAGTCGCGCAGACCCTCACTCGGAGGGCACAGAGTCCGGGGGGCGTCCAGGCGAAGTCGCGGGCCAGCCGGGCATCGGACTCTGCTGCGGCGCCGCGCGAGCTTCCGGCCGGGCCCTGGGCGGCCGCTGCGCGCCGGGCGCTCTCAAGTTTCCGCCCTCAGGTGCGGCGCCGGCTTCTTCCCTGTGAACGCGGCCGCCCTCCTCCCGCTGGGCCGGCCCGGGGTCGGCGGAAGCTCCGGCAGTGGCAGCACAGCAAAATACCCCTCGGAACCCGTAGCTCCTGCAGCTGCCGCGGGGCGCGCCGCTGGTTCCCGCAGAGCGCCGGGTTGGGGGCGCGGCCTGGTCCTTCCCGGGGCCCGGCGGGCTTGAGTGCCCCGGTAGCCCAGCTCCGCAGCGCTTGGTAAGCGCCGACTCAGCAGTCACCTGCGCTCCGCGGCATGGCCCTGTCTTCTGAGCCTGGTGAGTGCGCGCGATGCTGCAGGCTGACCTTGGCACGCGCTCTGCGGACCCTGCAGCCCGGGACGCCTGTCGGGAGTGCAGGATTCCCTTTGAGCTCCTGGCCCACGGGAGGTGGCACTAGCTCTGTCGCGGGATCTTCCCTTGCTTTGCTTTTGCCTGGACCCCTGCTCCTTGTCCCTGGGGAAGCATCAGGTGAGGTGCAGCATCCTGGTTCTCTGGTGGCCTAGATTGAATTCGCCAAGTTTAGGGGATTAAGGGTCCTGGGAGGAGCCACCGTTCTGGAAAGGTTTCTAGGTGCTCCTGGACAGCTGGGGGCTATTAGCAGGAAAGGGTGCGGAGGTAGGTGGACAGTATGGTTAGGTCCCTGGAGGCTTCATCCTGGCCACTGTGACTCGGAGAGAGCTGGGAAGGTGGTCAGCCCTGTGCCTGGGCAGTCTGTTCTCGCTCTTGAATTTCCTGGCAGCTACTCTGCCAGCCGATGAGGCTCACTGCTCCTGTAGACTGGCAGAGGCCTCCTCTGGGATGAGTCTTGCTCTGGAAGTTTTGGAGTAGGAGAGGCTTGCTGACTACAATGCATCATTCCTCCTGTAGGTTGTTGGGAACCTGGTGATGACAAATGAGCAAAGGCCTGGGCGAGAGCTGGCAGGTCTGGGAGGACTTCAGTGTGGGCTGAAGGCTGAGCCTGGTTGGCTGGATGCCTGGATGTAGTGCCCAACATTTGACCATCTTCAGACTGGCATCCTTACCAGGGAGCATCCTTCCCTGGCTGCCCAGCATCCACGCTGAGTGATGGTGGAGCCACTGGGCTCCACAGGCAGGGTCTCTGTTATTGCCCACATTTCAGGGCTGTTGCCAGCAGGCCTTGGGTGGTGGGCATGGCCTGGCTGGCTCTGCAGGTGATAGTTTGGGGGTGCTGCCCTCTCTGCTGGAGCTGGTGGTGCCTGCACATGGCTCTGTGGGCTCTCAGCCCGTTTCTCAGCTGTCTGAGGTCCTAGATGAGGAGTGAGTGATTCTCCGCCAGGTCAAGCAGTTCCTCGAGGCTTGGCTTTGTTGCCCTTACACATGTGGGGCCACCTCCTCAGATGGCCTTGGATATCAGACCCAGGTCTCCCGAACATCATAGGGCAGATAAATGGTACCCTAGGGAGAAGCCAGGAAATCACCTGATTTGGAAAGCTGCTTCTTGGCCTTGCTGGTTTTTCCACCGAGTCTGTTAAGCTGCTCCTCCCATGTGCTGGTTGCATATCTAGGACAAGAGACATGGCTTTAGGCTTCTGGTACAGAAGGGACTGGCTGCTGGTTTAGGTGCTGGCCTGGTCCAGTCACTGAGAAGTACCATTCAATGTGTTTTTCTTCTTCCTTGGGGATAGTACTGATCATGGAATAGCACTCAATGAATAAAAGGAGGAAACTTTTTAGTTTAAATGAAACTGCATGTTCGTTTCTCTAGTTGACTCTCATGTGTTTTCCTAATCATGGTGACTGTCGCTGTCCTGCAGCAATGGACTTCATACACAGAACCGATAATAACTCGCATGGAGTCTGACTGATGGTCAGAAGTTTATTAGTGGCATCAGACTTTATACACTGAGGGTCATATGGAATAAGGGAGGAAGTATCGAGCTTATCAACAAAACCCATCAACTATTTTTTTTAAGTATTTTTTTTTATTATTACAAAGTCAGATATACAGAGAGAAGGAGAGACAGAAAGATCTTCTGTCTGATGATTCACTCCCCAAGTGACCGCAACAGCTGGTGCTGCGCCAATCCTAAGCTGGGAACCAGGAACCTCTTCTGGGTCTCCCATGTGGGTGCAGGGTCCCAAAGCTTTGGGCCATCGATTGCCTTCCCAGGCCACAAGCAGGGAGCTGAATGGGAAGTGGAGCTTCTGGGATTAGAATTGGCGCCCAGGTGCGTTCAAGGCAAGGACTGTTTCTATACTTGAGGGTCACATGGCATAAGGGAGGAAGTATTGAGCTTATCAACAAAACCCATCAACTGTTTTCATACTCTTGTTTGGAACTCCTTTTGTTTTGTATATTCTACCAAGTGTTTTCATTCACACGCAGTCCACTCAACTGTTCTCATGCAAATGATATCCAGTCAGTTATACAAAAGGTATCCATTTGGTTGTTATCATGCAAATATTATCCAATCAATTGTAATCCTGTGCTCCCTGACCTTCTAGGGTCACAATGTTCTCCTACAGTGAGGATGTTGAAAGATGGTGCTGGCAAAGCACATGGTTCGTGCCAGTTTCGAGTCCAGGCATATTACCTGCTCTCCCTGCTCTGTCATGCCAAGCCCTGAGGTCAGTACTTTTATGACTCCTATTTTATAGCGAACGAAACTGAGTCACAGGAAAGTTCAGGGACTTGGCCAAGGTCACACAATTTAATGGTCAAAGACACAAACCCAAGGAGACTGGCTTGGGTCCCTGTTCTTAACCATACGTTGTGCTCTCTCTTGGATTGGCCATAGGTGGAGTCATCTACTTGTCTTGCTCACTCATTCTTTTACACACACTCATTCAGCAGGTATTTATTGAATGTCTGTCATATTGTGGGCCCTGGGGGATATAAGCATTGAGGGAGACACATGGAATCTGTTGTGGAGCTGGGATTCAGCAGCTGACCCCCGTGCCCAACTTCTTGGGTGAGTCACACACACACTTTGCAATGACAAGGTGTCTGGACCCCTTGATGCAGGTGCATGCCTTGCTCTGGGGGAGGAGAGTGAGGTCTTTCTTGATGAGACCTAATTGGCCTTCCCAGACATTTGGCATTCATAAGGAAGACTTCAGTGATAAAAGCAAATGTCGTTCAGTCTCCAGGATGGGAAACACAGAACCTGGGTCTGGTTATCACAAACCGTATAGGTGTCTGTTCAAGGAGGAAGCAAGGCTTGGTGCTGGGGACTAGTGCCTGTCTGTCCCAGAAACTATCTGAACTATAAGCAGCAGTGATGTGTTAGGCTTGAGATGGGGCCAGTCATGAGGTCCTGGGCAGAGCTTGCCCACCCTGGGCATGTTCCCAAGGGTCTTGCCTCTGCCTGGGCCCCAACAGAACTCCTGGCTGTGGTTCCAGTCTGTGGCATCCTAGAGGGGCTCCTGGTGTCTGGACCCATTGGAGTGGGTATCCCCTTGGAGCTGGACCCCAGGAAGACAGCTCCCTCTGGATTTGGAAAATGAAGACTCCAAGTGGAAGGCATTTTCCAAAGCCCGTGCCACAGGATATTCATAGGTGATTTTTTTCCCCCAATGACAGTAGGATGGCTTAAGTGTGCTGGCTTACATGAAATTAAGCAGTTTTCTGTACTGGTATTGAGTCTGTGAATAGAACATGTACATGGAGTCCCAGAAGTGACTGTTCCTGTATTCCAGCCTTCTGATATGTTCTGGTCTACAGACTAGACTTGGCTTAGACTAGACTAAGCCTGGCCAGGATCCGGTTACAGGTACAAGATGTAATTCATAAACTGGGATGCTCCCATTTCAGCTTACCTGCAGGAGAAATCATTCACTGCCTGGCATTTTTTTTCTCACATGCTGTGTCTGTTTAATGATTTAATGAATTAATATGACTCTCCTTCTTGTTGCCTGCTGATTGCAGTGTTTATGAAACAGCTGTGAGGACAGGTGGGTCATAAGCTCTGGGTGGCTAAAGCCCAGCAGCCGCACAGGGATCGAGTGTCACTGTCTAATCATGCCCTGTGCTCGCAGGAGTTAGGATGTGGCCTCAGCATGGCATGGCCATGAGGAGGTGACTCAGGCCCAACTTAGGGCTACAGCTGGTTTCCTGGCAAACAGTTGACCCATGTTCTCTGGGCTCTTCTCCCCTAGGGTTTCAACAGCACCCCAGAAATAGCCGTTTTGCTCACGGTTATTTCCCACGCCCAAGTGATTTGTCAAAGTCGCTGGGAGCCGGTGTGTACCTTCCTGCTCTCCTACAGGGCAGGCGAGAGCCCTGCCCCTTGGGATGCTGGCCTCGCCCGCCAGCTTGGCTTTAGAGTTGCCCTTCTGGGAGAGAGCATCATGTGCTGCAGGCTCACTCGGGAGCTGGGACCCCAGAAGGCAGCAGAGGGCTCAGGGTTGGCTCAGGTGAGGTTTCTGTTTCTTGGATGGGTAGGTTGGGGTGTGTATGGCTGACAGAGTTGCTCAGCCCCCTGCAGTGTCTGGCTTCTTACGAGGAAGGTGGGAGGGAGTAGGCAGGACTGCAGTTTCTGGGGCCTCTCTGCCAGGGTCTCTGTCCCCTTCTAGTAGAGCAAGAAGTAGTTCATGAAGTAGGAGGAGATGGGGAGGGAGGAGCATGTGCTGACATGGGGGTTCAGTCCAAGCTGCCGTTAGAAGGGTGTCATAGCAGGTAGGGTCCTCTGTGTTGAGACAGGATGAGCTGTGCCATAGCTGAGTTCTCCTGTGGTAAGATGATCCTGTCTTCAGGCCAGACTTAAGGGGGTTCCAAGGAGGGAAAGCAGTGAAGGCTGTGGGGATGTGTGTTGGGAGGGGATGGATATTGCTACTCTACTTTGCCCAGGGCTCTGTGTGTATCCAGGAGGTGCACTGATGTTCTGTGCTTCCACAGAGTACTGCAGGGGCTTGCATGGGGGCAGCACCTCTTGGTTTTTTCTGCTGAGGCTGCAAGCCAGACAGTACTTGCATCCAGGCTAGTGTGTGCCTTGGAGCCAACATTACCTGGGGCCTTCAAGATTCTTTGAAAATTTCCACTTGCATTCCGTGTTTACAGCAGAATTTCCAGCTTAACTTTTCCTGCCCTACCTCCTGGCTGCTGGCAGATATGCAAAGCAGAGCCCTCCCACTGGAGCCTGCAGGCAGGACCCAGCCAGAAGTGCTCACACCCTGACTTGGCTCAGCTTCCCACAGCAGGCAGGCAGGCAGCACCTGACCCCCAGTGTGCTTGGTTGGTCAGTGTGGCTCCTCACCATCAGTCATGGAGACTCCAGCAGTGCCAGGCTCAGGTTGGTGGTGTGGGCTCTGACCATGGGAGACTGGCAAGAGCAGAGTACCTTGCCAGGTGCTAGGAAGGGATTGTGGTGGTGGTGCGTGCTTTGTTGAAACAGTGGCTGAGTATGAGGCAAAGTTACTGGTGGCTGGAACTGGTGGTGTGTGGGAGCTTTCAAACTGGGGGACAGCACTTGAGGCTAATTGAAGGGTCCATGTGCAGCTATGAGATAAGCCCTATCGCTGGCTGACCCTTGCCTGTGCATTCACAGTTGAACTTTCCAGCCTACTGCCTGCAGCTGACAAGTACCTGTGTGGGTCTTGAGCAGGCAGCTAGAGTTAGGGTTGGCATCTGTGAAGGGGGCTTCCTTTGGCAGGCCTGTCCTGGTAGGTGTCTGGAGTGGGGGATGTGGGAAGTGTGGGGGGCAGGAGACCATAGGCACTAGAGGAAAGGGGTAGCTGGTGGGACCTGTTTTGCAGGCTTGTGACACTTAGCATCTCCCACAGGGCCTGTTTTACCAGCCATGGGCATCACTTCTCTTGGGGGACACAGGTTAAGAAAGATTGGCATAAGCTGTGTGAGCTAAAGAAAGAGGAGGCTGTTTAAGAGGAAGCATCCTCGAAAGTATGCTTGACTGATTTGAGCTAAGAATGCTTCCTGGACAGGCCCTGGCATGCCGAGCCTCAGTCACGTGGGTTCCTCCCAGCTGTCCTGTCCCCAGGGGCGAGGACCTGGGGGTCTGGGTCACACAGTGTGTGCTGGGAGGAAGGTGGTGGCTACAGGCAGCTTTGTGGTATCACTCCTTATTGGGGGTGAGTTATGTGGGAGAGGCCCTAATGACGAAAACCTACAGGAAAAGAGGCTTTATTTTCCTCTCTCTCTCTGTCTCTCGATTCATTTTCTTGGTATCTGTTGGAAAGATGATGACCCCTTACCCAAGAAGACGTCCCCACCCCAACACACACAGGTGACTCTGCTTTCCAGGCCTGGTGAGTGTGTGTCTCTCCCAGAGCCCTCTTCCACAAGGGGATTTGTTTTTCTATCATGGTAATAAAATGTGGGCTCTGTTTTATGTGTTATTTTGTCACTGATTTCACAAGATTTTTTTTATATGGTTGCATCATCCTCATAATTATGACATTGATTAGCTAACACTGTCTGCAAGTAGGGCACAATGGGACGCAGGCTTTCAGAATGAATATAGAGAAGGCAGGTGAACATCTTGATACCTTTTCCTTCTTATACTTCCTTTATTTTAGAGAAATTTCTAAAAGAGATTAGTTGTTCCAGCAGAGTGGTTGCTCTATGCTGCTGGGGCCTGTGTGATATCTGCCTCAGCAATGCTCTGTGAGGTTAGGGAGCATGGCACCTGCCCTTGGCACTTGGAACTGGGGGTTCCTGGCCTGATGACAGCATCGGTTTTTCATGCTGCTCCAGCTTTCTTCTCTGGTCGCCTCCTCAGAGCCTCTGCCGTGCCATTGTCCCACTTCCTTTCTTCTGCCTGCTGCAGGACGGGGAGTTCAATACCATTGCTGACTCGGAGTGGGCTCCCTTACACCTGCGCAGTCACGGTCGCGTGCTGAGGTGCTCTTCTTCCCTCAGCTCCCTCCTGCTCACCCTCCCAGTGACAGAGACCCGTGTCCCGGGGTCAGGAGGTGAGAGGACACAGGTGTCAGCATCCGGGGGCCCCCCAGCTACCTGCCCACCACCTGCCTGCTTCCTTCTTTCCCATCTGTTGCCAAGTGAAGACCAGAGCAGCGAGCCCTCCCAGGACCCTAGGTGTCGGCAACGCCTGCCTCGTACCCGAGCAGAGCGGAGGGACTACGAGCAGAGCAGAGGGACTACGGTTACAAAAAAGAGAACAAACAGTGGGTCATTCTTGTAAAGAGAATGCCGTTTATTCGAAGTTGGCCTGCCTGTTTTATAGGCCTGCCTGGTTCCTCCCAGTATTTTCCCAATGCTCAAGCAACGCCTAAGCTCCCCTGGGGACATCTTACAAAGGGGAAGCAGGGAAGAGGTAACTTGTGGTCAAGCCAGGGGCTAAATGTATCAGGCCAAGATTGCCCATCCTGTTACACCTTGAGAAACAAGCTAAGCTGTGGAGTTAACCCTTGGGAGACCCCACCGTGCACCTAGGGACCCCTGGGCTCTCCAGTTACCCTACTTGTAGTCCTTGAAAGTGACACAGTCTCACCTGTGACTCTCCCAGGTGTAAGGCCAATAAGTTTTGTGCTGTTCTGGGGATGTTGAGGAGACCCTTCCTGATGCCCAACTGGGAGCAGCACAGCTGGGTGCTGAGGGCACAGGTGTGGGATCCAGGTGCCTGGGTCAGGACCCTGGGCAGAGAGGCACAGAGGGGGAGAGATGGAAGAGAGGCTGAAAACAGAGCAGACCTCTGCCCACCCACAAGAAGGGTGGCCCTGAACCAGTTAGCTGTCTGTGTCTTCATTTTCTCACCTGTGAAATGGAAATAGAATAAGATCACCTGAATTAATTAGTAAAATGCAGTGCTCATGTTGTGGCATAGTGGGTAAAGCTGGAACCTACAATATCAGCATCCCAATTAGTTGTTGGTTTGAAACCTGGCTATTTCACTTTCAGTTCTGCTCCCTGTTGGTGTGCCTGAGAAAGCAGAGGATGACCCAAGTGCTTGGGCCCCTGCACCCATGTGGGAGACCCAGAAGAAACTGCAGGCTCTTGGCTTCAGCCTGGCACAGCCCCAATCATTATGGCCATCTGGAAAGTGAACCAACCGGTGGAATGAAGATCTGTGTCTTTCTCTGTAGCTATAACATTCAAATAGTTAAACTCTTAAAAAAAAATTCTTAAAAGAAATCCGTGGAACATGATTGACTGGGGATATGTTTAGGGCTATATTAGTGTTTCCAAAGTAAAGAGGAGGGAAGAAATACACTGAGGGACAGGGGCCAGTCCCTGAGGTATGCAGAAGGAAGACGGGGAGAACCTCTTTAGGGGAAGTGAATTTTCAGTTGACTAAAGGGTGTTCTGGTCCCCAAATTTAAAATTTTCTGTGTATTGCTAAGGGATTTGAAATGTATGGGGGGACTCTTTGTTTCAGGAAAAAGCCCTTGTTTGAGGAAAAGAGGAATGCAACTGTGAATTTCCCAGGCTCCACTCTTTATCTCTTAGGGCCTGAGGCTCATGATTGAAAACCCTTTTGGAGACTGAACATTTGGCCTGAAGGTTTACGCAAACCTATGTTGAATACCTGAGTGCCAAGGTTCAAGCCCTGGTTTCACTGCTGGTTCAGCTTCCTGCAGCGGGTGATGGCCCCAGTGGTGGGCCTAGGGCATTCAGGAGGGATGGCTGGTGCTGAGGACCAGGTGGGGCAGCCCTCATTCTGAGCTCTGTCTTCTGCTGGTCTGGTGACTCGGGCTGCCACTGAAACAATTCCCCAAGGCTGATGCTTATTCTTTCTGTTTTGCCAGCCGAGATGCCGCGCCAATTTCCCAAGCTGAACATCTCTGAAGTGGACGAGCAAGTTCGGCTCCTGGCTGAGAAGGTGTTTGCCAAAGTACTCCGAGAAGAGGACAGCAAGGATGCATTGTCCCTCTTCACCGTCCCGGAGGACTGCCCCATTGGGCAGAAGGAAGCCAAGGAGAGGGAGCTGCAGAAGGAGCTGGCTGAGCAGAAGTCTGTGGAGACGGCCAAAAGGTTTGTCCCAAAGATGCGTGTGCACAGAGTCAGGAGGGCCATGGCATGGCTCCTCAGGGGAACCGGCGGGTCCTTGCACCTACAAGGACCTCTTAACCATGACTATTGAGAAGATCAGAGCCCACTTTCTCTCTGTTGCTGTTTTCTTAACAGATTGCGTTTGTGTGCAGACACATGCACACACACGTTTCCGTGGAGCGGCTCCCTTTCCTTTCTGCAATGTGGGTATTTCTCACGATTCACCAGTCTTTCTTCTTTTCATCCCCCATCTTCCTATCTTGTGCTGATTCCAGTGGGTCCCTCTTTGCCAGGTGCCCTGCTGGGAACATAGGTATAATAATCAACAGTGTAGTTCCCACCCTGGGACACCAATGGTGGTTTTAGCCAATTCTGGGCAAGTGAATGAAAGTGTATCAGCCAGGATCTAGCCATGTTACCATAAGCCATTATGCGCACATAGGTGTAGGTTTTGATGTTGGAAACAGGTGACAACTGGTGATAGAGTTAGACACAGAGGGTGAGTTGGAACCTTGGGGGCTTCTCAGTGGAAACGAGCATGGGGAAGTGATGCAGCAACTAAGTGAAACCCCCAAAGTGGAGACGGAGGCAGGAAATGCTGTATCTGGCTATGCCCTTCCTGGGCCTTTCAGGCTTTCCTCAGTGGCTACCATGGGCCAAACCACGCTGACACAACCTGGCATGGTGACACAACCTGGCATGGTGAGAGAGTGAGGCTTGGACAAACAGGTGCAGCCCAGTGCAAAGGCAAGGAAAGCAATGAACTCAGGGGTGAGGGTAAGATTCTGTTGTATGCTGTGCATTCAGGAAAGATATCTCCCAGGAGACAGCCAGAGAGCCCCTACTCCAAGAGTTGGCTTTGTGAAGGTGGGCGGCAGCCTTGCAGATAGGAGAGTCTGCCAGGGCCAGGGCTACGGACGACTTATGGGAGCTGCCGTGACCAGAGGAGAAGGGAGGAGTTGTGTGCTGTATGGCTGCAGGGGCAGGCAGTACCCAGATCAGACCCAGGTGCCTAATGGGAAATGTGGATCTTGACCTTTGTTTTTTCATAGCTCTTCTGCTTGGAAGAGCAGAAAGGGGACAGGAAGAAGCCTTGAGCAGCCATGGCAGGCTGCATCAGTGTCACTGCCTGGCCATGCCTGCAGGTCCTTGTGGCTGGGGCCTCTCTGAGACCTGGCTGGGGATTGGACCCCTTCCTGACTTTTCCAAGTGAGCCCTTTCCTTTCCCCCCAGTGTCAGATTGTCCGTGCCTCGGTAACTTTTTGGGGGGGAAAGAAGTAAAATATAGCTACCAGCTTCACTGTGGGTATAGTTGGTGTTTTTCCTTCCCCATAGGGGCTGAAAGATACCAATGGAAGGAGTCTTTGGTGCCACTAGACAACTCCAAGGGTTAGCCCTGTGCTGGCCTAACAGAGGGGCCACACACCCTGTGCTAATTTGAGCATTTCACACCCTTAATGCTGAAAAGAGAAGAGGTCCTAGCAGTTTTTTTTTGTTGCCTGTAACAATCAGTGTCTGCAGCCAGCTTCCATTGCTAAGAGACCCTGGGGCTGACATCTCTGCAGGGACTGTGCCCTCCTTGCCCAGGCCTGACATTGGCATTCCCCCCACCACTCAGAGAGCCTTTGCAAACCTTCGCCAAGCTTATGCCCTCCCTTCCTTCCTGGGCACAGTGCTATCCTAGCTCACATCTCTCTCTGTCCCATTAGTCTGTGAGCTCCCTGGGGACTGGCTCTGACTCCTGCTGTGTCTTCAGGATCCAGCCTGGGACTTGGCCATGTGGAAGGGCAGAGGAAAGATGCCCTGTGTCCCCACTGTTGCCACAAATGCCTTGTGGTGTTTGGGAATAGGGTAAAGGGGGGCCCTGTGGCTTCTTGCAGTGCCGTGTCCTGCCACTTAGGAAATCTGTCTGGACCCCTCCTCTGTCTCTCCCTGCCCTCCGCCTCCACACAGACAGCTTTATGGAGATATAACCCAGATGCCATACAATTCGCCCATTGATGGTGTACAGAGTCATGCAGCTGTCACCACAATCTTAGAGCATTTTCATCTACCCTGAAAGAGTCCCTTCAGCTGACACTTCCTGCTCATCCCGTCCCATCACATCCCCTCCTCCTCCCCCTTGGCATGGATTTTTTCACATGCTGGCTCTCGTTTCTCATCCTGTGCCAGGCTTAGCAATGCACTCAAAATGGGAAGGTGGGCTTTTATGGATTTATATGGGAGGGAATATCATGAAGGAGCAGGCATGATGCACGGTGACCATAAGCACAGGCTTTGGGGTCAAACCAGCTGGGACCAAGCAACAGCCGTTCCTCTCTGCCCAGTGGCCTTGCCCAAGGCTCTTACTGGCCTGACCCTTTACCCCCATCTGCAAAATGAGGGGAATTGGACAACGTGACTTGTGAAAATTGGATGAGCCAGTTCACATGGAATGCGTGGCATGGGTCCTGAAGCATCATTCCCAGTCTTGTTTTTGTTATTGTTGTGATTTGACAGTTGCCAGCAAGAGAGGAAAGAAAGCTATTAGGCAAGCAGACACAAGAATCCCCAGCACAACAGTCCGAGGGCAAGACGCCCGTAGGATCATGACGGGGCAATCTGACGATGACCCTGAGTCACGGAGAGGGCTGCGGATTATGCTCAGCACGCTCTGAGTCCGAATTCGGGACGAAGCACTCCTTGGGAAAAGCCACTTGCATTGTCTAGTTAGCCAGGCCGACTCAGGGCAGGATTACTCCTTGCACCCCGAAGGATGATCTCAAGGGGTGCTATTCCCGATTCCAGGTGTTATGGGATTTTCTGGTTTGCACCTGCAAACGGAAGGGCTTTGAAATATTGCATCAGTCCTTTGTTATAAAAAAAAAAAAAGAAAAATGAGACCTAAAAGGGACAGATTTTGTTATCTGAAAAATCTAGCTGTTTGGAGCTTTTCCCAGAGAATGTTTTCAGTAAAATCGACAAACAGATCCAGCCAAAGTGTTACTAAATCATTTATTTTTGAATCTCTTTAAATCACAGTCAGGCAATATTTTATTCTAACTCGGGGCCTTTGGCAAAGGAGCTTTATTTGTAATTGCCAATTTACCTACTTTTAAAGTTAAAAAGAGACTGCAGCGCTTTAAAAGGCAGTGAGGACTGTACTTCACCTTGACCTCTGGGGTCTTATAGAACTGAGAAGGAAATGGAAAGGGAGAGAAATGGAGATCATCCTGGGCCCGGAGCCAAGTAGAAGAGGGAGAAGGCAGCAGGTCATGGGAGAGTGGCAGAAGAGGGGGCATGGTGGAGTTGTCTTTATACTTGACCCTCCGACTCCAAAGATTTGGGCATCAGAGTCACACCTGCCTGGCAGGCTGCTGGTCAGCAGGCCTGCGTGCAGTGGGTAGTGTCTCTGTGTTAACTCCCAGGCTCTCTGCAGACCCCTTTCACGCCGCCCATCAGGGAGCCTATAGCACCGTCAGCAGTTCCCAGCTTGCCACTGGGGCTGGGACCTCTGCTGTCGGTCACAGTCACTGATGAGGAGTGTAGGTGCCGGGGGAGTTAGCAGTGGTGCTATGGACCTCAGGAGCAGAACAGCCCATGACAGTGGAGTGGGTCTGCCCCCCTGCACTGTTGGCTGAGCTCCCACACTGGTTTATGACTCCTGCACGGCAATCCTTGCCGTTGGAGGGGGAGGCAATAGCAGCGTGAGCTCAGTGTGTGTGCATGTGTATGTATGCATGTGTGTATGTGTGTATGTGGGAGAGGAACAAACCTCTCCGTGTGAAATGACCCCTCCCACCCTGTCCCGAATGCTGCCATCCCCAGTGGGGATTAGGCATCTCCTCTGGGATCCCAGAATATCTGGGCATTTCATTACTCCTGCCACAACATGGTTATAACAGCAACCTGTAGGTCTATCTGAGTCCTGCTGTCATTCAGATGCAATCCCTGGAGTCTGGGGCTGTTTTTTACCTAGCCCTCTACCCCCACAGCCTGGCAGTTGAGTTGGGTACTTCTGTGGGCACGAGTCTGGAGAGGCTTGCCTTGGTGCCTTTTGCTGCCACCCCTATAGGCTTCAGAGATCCTGGGAGATGCTGGGGGCTGTCCCAAAGAGGGCTCAGCCAAGCACTGCCTGTTCTCATGGCAGGAAGGGCTGGGGAACGTGGAGTAGGTGGTGACACCGTGGATGGTGGGACAGTGGTAGAGCAGGTGAGGGTGCTGACAGGTGCTAGACGAGGTGTTGTAATAATAACCTGGATGGTTACATCGCTCACTTCTCTTGAGGTCCTGGTCAGTAAGAAGGGCACTGTGACCAGGTCACCACCTATCCTAGAGATGACAGTGCTGCCCCCTAGGTTCTTAGGCTCTTAGTGTGGCCTGGAGCTCATGACCTCATACCCCTGCCCTCTCAACTCCCTGACAGGGCTGTGGTTCTGCCAGGTGTTTGTGGTGGGGGAAGGAGGGGTAAGCCAGCTGTAGCACAGTGAGCTAACTTCCCCGTGCCCCATGGGCCAGCACGAGGTGTGACAAGTGGCACTGTGAACAGACAGATCTTGGTCCATCACAAAGGAGTGCTTTCTAACAGTGACAGCAGATCTTGTTTTGTTCCAATGTGTGTTTGTGTGTCTAGCTGTAGCCCAGCCCAGAGAACATGCTTAGTAAATGTTTATTGAAGGAGTGACTGACTGCTGATTCAGGAATGTAGTGCACTCCCTGGTGGTGGAGGTGTCAAGGAAAGGCTACCGCAGGGAGAGGCCGGGATGCATGACCTTTCAAGTCTTTCCTGCTTAGGCCTGTGGTGCTGTGATTTAGGTAGATGTATGGTGGTTCTTCATGTATCCTTGTTGCATTGCTGTGACACGTGTGAACGTTCATGTGTGGGTGCACATCGTCATACTGTATGTCATGTGCTGCCACTTTCCACCTCTGTTGGCTGGTTTCAGAGAGTAGATATGAGGTATGGACCTATGTCAGAGCTGTTCAGGTGGCCTCCAGGAGCA